AACTAACTCTCTTTGAGGCTAACATGGTTGGAACAAAAGTGCTTGAGGTCCTTTCCAAAATTATGAGCATTTATTTTCATAGGAAAAACCCAAGAAACAGCACCATCTGACCTTGACGGGACCCTGAAAGATACTTGTGCTACCACACTCAGATCGTGTCTACGGAGTAAATAAATAAACCACATCATTCCAAAGCTTGTCACTCTGACACATTTCACAATTGCTATATTTGCTTCAAATTATTTGGAAGAGGTAGAAGATGCTCCAGACTGTTTATGTTTCTGTCCCCTCCCTAGAGGCTAAGGATAGTAAATGAGACAGCTGGTAATATTCTCAGCTCCAGGGTTCTGGTAGGCGGTTTTTATTTCGGGGGTTTGGAGATGGTTTTTAAAACTGAAATGGTCTGTCCTCTCCCTCTGCCTCCCCTCCCCTCGCTGGAGGACTGTAGTAATTGTGGATCCTGAAATCTCTGGATTGTATTTTTACAATGCCCCACCAAAATATCTCCAAAAGATACGGTTTCCATTGGTTTGTGTCCCTGAGTCATTCAATAACACTGGGCAAGTTCCTTAACCTAAGTCACAAAGTTCTTTGCAAAATAGGTTAATAATACCTTCTTCACAGTGTCAATCAGGACTGCTCAGTGCACGTGAAACAGGACTGCTGCACCGCCACCCCCAGGTGACGCCATCCTCATCGGAGTCTGTGACTGGCCCAATGCAGAGCCAGGTGGCCCAGTCTGTGCTGCCCTGGGAAGCAGTCTTACCTAACAGTGCATATGGTTCACAGCAAGCAGTAAGTGGTAACAAGTGTAGTAATTATATTACAGTCAACTTTTACTTGCAAGAAAGGTGAACTTGCCTCTGGATGCTTCAGAGAGGCTTGGATTAATAGCAAAAAGGAAATTAGCAAACGTTAGGCTGTCCAGACCAGTTATTATGTTTTCACATGTGTTATTCCACTTAACCTTTGCAACCACTCCATAAGAATATTATCACCTCTTTGACTGATTAAAATCTGAAACTCAGGGGTGCCTGGATGGCTCAGTTGGTTAAGCGTCTGCCTTTGGCTCAGGTCACAACCCCAGGGTCCTGGGATCAAGCCCCATGTTGCAGGGGAGGCGTCCCTGCTCAGTGGGGAGTCTGCTTCTCCCTCTCCTTCTGCCCTTCTCCCTGCTCCTGCTCTCTCTCTCTTGCTCACTCTCGCTCTCAAATAATCTTAAAAAAATAAACAAAATAAAATAAAAATTTAAAACATAATAAAATAAAAATGGAAAGGAACCATTTCCCCCACAGAAAAGAGAAAAAGAACAAATTCCGCTTGGTGGATCTCCAATCCAAAACCCAATTCCTAGGCTTGTGTCTGATGGTAATTCCAATGTTAACATCCCACACCGAGGCTGTCTCCCAATATCCATTCTCCCCTTCTTCCGTGATAATCTGATTTTTAGCCAGTACCTAACTTTCCAGGATAATGACTACATTTCCCAGCCTCCTTTTCAGATAAGTGTGGTCACATGACCAGGTGATAGGCAATGGGATGTGAGCAGAAGGTACAAGCTCAAGTTCCAGGTTGTGTTGAAAGGGAAGGCATGCCAAATGTAGACGTGGTGATGTGACATGATGGATTTTGTGGGCAAGGATGCCACCCTAAAGGGAGGGGAGTGATAAGACAAGCAGAGCTTGAGTTCTCTCTGCTACCCAGACTTCCTTTGGTTTATTATACTGTCTTTTGGATCTCTGCAGCCAAATTTACATCCTGAGTAGTACAGCAACAAACCTGCCAAAAGAACAAGCCGCCTCCATTCAACCTTTCTACTTGAACCACCTTGCTCCTCCCACCCTTAAATACGGGTGACACTCTCACTCGAAGTCTTTCCTTGTATCTGGTTTCTCTCTATACGTCCTTCCTTGGAAATCTCATCTACTCTCATAGAAGAAGACTGCAAACCCTCCTAACCCTGCCCCATCTCTCAGCACCAGCACTGCTTACCAACCTCTCCTCCCTGATGCATTGCCAGCATATCAAACTCTGTATGTTTAAAATCAAGCCCACGGTTCTCGCTCTCCTTCTCACACACTCGCACACTCACCACAGAAGGGTAGACAATCTGTTCTTCTGATTCCTTTTAGTAAATGGAGCAAATGACACCACCATCCTGCCAGAGCCCAGGCTTAAAACTCTAAAGCAGGGGCCACAATTTCAAATGCTCATGGAGACCAGGCAAGTAACAGGCAAAAGTGGAGATAATGGAGAGCTGAAGGGCTCAGGACCAACCTAAACAGAGCAACTACTATGCGGCTGAATTCTCACATGTAGGAATATGGGTACAATGTTGTAAGGTCTTCTGATTTTTCAAAAGAAGTAAAAGATTTAGATTCTATGCTGTATGCAATCTCCCTCGATTTGTAAAAAGACAACAAAAGCTATCTCCCACAGAGATATTCAAAATATTGAACTAGTAATATATATAGATCAATATGTAAATCAAAGTTTCAAAACAAATCTTATGTCATTTTCTAAATATTATAAAATGACTTGTTAAATAATATAATTTGTGGCAAAAATAATTCATCAGATCATTCCAGTAAGGGTAAATCATTTATATTTGGAAATTATTCACCTTTTGATGCAATTGTCACTAAATTTTGTCCCTGTGTGAGTCCTGATTTGACATAGGGAGCAACATCAAATTCTTCCAGCAACTTCCCCATTAAATTGATAATCACTGGATGAGTTAAGTAGACTGTTTTTCTGAACATCAATGATAGTTTGGCGTTGAATCCTCAGCTTCTGATGAATAGCAATTGCATTTAAATATTTTCCAGACTTCCAGTCTGAGGCTTTTATATATTCAGTATTTCTGTTAGTGACTAAATCACAAAAATCATTTGTTGAAATACCTTTTAGCCAGTTGGCTTAATTGTTCACCTTCAATCTTTGGAACTGCACAAACCAGTTGGCCAAATTTCAGGACTCAGTGATTTGAAGGAATTGAAAAGTTCATTACATTTTTCACTTTTGTCCTCAAATACCTTTTCATATTATCTGTTGGACAATCTTACAGTTTTTCTATTGAAATTGATACTTTGCTTAGTTTCAAAGAGTATACCTATTTTTTTAAATATCTCCACCTTCCACTTTTGTTTCAAAGTTTATGTTATAGACAGAATGTCTTCCCAAAATTCTTATTAAAGCCTACCTCCCTCCCTAACATGATAATTAGAATTAGATAAGGTCACAAGGTGGAAGTCATAAGGATTATGCTCTTATAAGAGTCACCAGAGAGGGGCGCCTGGTTAAGTGTCCAACTCTTGATTTTGGCTCAGGTCATGATCTCAGGATCGTGACATCTCTGGGTCATGACACTGAACCCTGTGTTGGGCTCTGCGGTGGTTGTGAAGCCTGATTGGGATTCTCTCTCCATCTGCCCCCCCTACCCCACTCTCACACTCTCTCAAACAAACAAAAACAGTCACTAGAGAGCTTGCTTCCTCTGCTCTGCTCTCCACCATATGAGGATGCAAAGAGAAGTCTGTGGTCTGCAACCTGGAAAAGGAACCTGCCCCACGCTGGCACCTTTATCTGACTTCTAGCCTCCGGAACTGTGAGAAATAAGCTTCTGTTGTTTTATAAGTCACCCAGTCTGTGATATTCTGTTATAGCAACCCAAACAGACTATGACAGTTTACATACATCCTGTTGTTTCATCTATAGTTCATTAAGATATCAGCTACAATAATTAAGTCATTTTCCTCATTAAGCTGAAATAAATTTTGACATTTCCATGAAAATATCATTTATTAAGGCCAAAACACTTAAAACATGTTTTTGAAATGGCTAACCACTCTGTTTGTTTTCTCTGACAGTGAACATACAGAATTTATTGATTTCCAAACTGCTTTTGAAGCTCTAGCACTTCAAGTTGTCCATTCGATTTTCTTTATGTAATTTGCAGTTCTTTCTGATCTTTATTTGATGTGTGATAGTAAATACAGCATATTGAGAAAAAAAATGAGAATTACTTGACTTATATCTGGTATTGCTTTAACCAAAATTAATTAAATTTGGTAACTTAGTGCCAAGTTAATACATCCAAATTTTTTCTAAACTTTTGGCTGAAACCCCAGACTCTAATATTATACTGGTACTTTTTGTACAAAATCCAATGACTTTTTTTTGTCATAAAATACTCCAATGACATTTTTATGGAAATATTTTTCAATGGAATATAATTTTTCTTGCCCACAAAAAAGTTCAATACATTGTATTAAATGTGGTTCTCGATGCCATAAGTTCAACAAAAACCATTGTCTTCAAAATCATGAAATTTGTATTTTAAGCAAATTATGAAAACATCTTTAAGTAAAACAAATGAAGTTTCTTTGATAGTGATTTAAAATCATCTGCCTTGGGAGAGGGGCTAGAGGTTGAATCAATTGCCAATGGCGGATGATTAAATCAATTATGCTTATGGTAATGAAGTTTCCGTAAAAACCCAAGAGAACAGGGTTTGGAGAGTCTCCCTCTTGGTGAAACATGCAGATTCAGGGACAGTGGCCCACCTGGAGAGGGCAGAGCTCTGTGCCCTTACCCACATATCTTGCCCTATGCATGTCTATCTGGCTGTTCCAAGTACGACTTTTTGTAATAAACTGGTAATCTACTAAGTAAAAAATTAAATGAACTGCCCTGATTTATGTTTTCCAAAAAGTTGTTTTCTCATCTATGTTTTATAACTGGGCGGGGGGTCCATATACCCAAATCCACATCAATAGCATTCCTTTAGAAATTCTATTAAATATTTTCATAAAAATGCCCAGTTATATACTGTCAAAGATTTCACTTGAACAAGTTTTAACAGTATCCTGATGAAATACACATTTAGAACTTTAATCTCTTAACACATAACTTTTGAGCACTATTTGTATCCAACTTTTCTGTCACTACCAAGAAGTCAAATTCTTGGCTGGAAAAAAAATTATTTTTCATCCCAGAACTACAGACTTTACATGATAAAGTTTATTTAATACAAGTTTCATTTTGTGCAGATTCTTGCATAGCATCAAAACAGAAAACAGGTCTCAGGCTGGGACTCACTACTATTGCAGTTCCTTCTTTGCCCTGCAGATTAACAAGATTCATGTTTATTATGTTTAAAAGTCTTAAAATTTTATCCAGATTTTCCCTCTTCATTCTAGGTATTTGTTTTTAATATTTTATAATAACATCTTAAGTGTATAAAACACTGCACAACTGCTTCCAAAAGAATTACAAAGTGTGAGGAATAAAATTATTTTAAGTAGTGATTCTCCTAAAGCAATTAGTATTTTGTTAACATAAGCAACTTAGCCAGTCCCTTCAGTGACACAGGTCAAACTATGTCATGAATATTTCTTGGATGTGGCTATATCAGGAGGCCCATTTCCAATGGTACTAATATCCTAAAACTATCACCAGTGAGTTTATATTAAAATTTATATTAACTAATTGTAACACCACTATTACTATAATACTATTTACCATTAGGTAGTTCAATAATTTAACCATCAGTATGGTGCACAATGCATACTGGCTAAATCAGCTCTGGTCTATCTGCTGGATTTCGTCCAGGGGCTGCCAGTTTTAAGCCTCTGACCAAAACTCCAGAAGAGATTATCAATGGATCCTGGATTGGAAGATGGGCTGCATTTCAGAAGCAGCTCTACAAGCGTAGTCCATGGTCACTTTTTTTGTGTGGAGGATGGATATCAAGTGATGTCACACCTGGACCACTTCACTACTTAAAGTTACCTACCTGCCTCTGGTAACATTGTAACTTCCCACCCCTGGGTTTGATTCTCAATAAAAGACTTCCTGTCCTACCAAACTTTCTGAGATAAAGATTTGCAAATTCTGGCCACACGCTAGAAATGGGAAGGAGGGGGCAAATAGAAATAGCAATCACTAAATTAATATTACCAAAAAAGCATCTTGCCACATCTACACCTCCAACTTAGATCAGTCCAGGTCATGATTTAGCTCCCTGAAACCTTCCCTAATCCCCAGCCAGCATCACCCTCTTCCTCTAATGATCACAACTTAAGTCTCTCTCGTCTCTGTTAGAACACTTATCACATGCTACCCTGTAATTACACATGGCTCAAAAATAAATTCCAAACTCCGCGTCTAGCATACCTTGCCCCACCCATTATCCCCCAAGAACGTTAAATCATATTGTTTCTCTTCACATAGCCCTTGCCCCAGCCAAAAATGACATTTCCCCCCATAGATCTTAGCCGGTCATACCGCCATGCCTTGCTCAAAAAGGTTTCCTCAAGCTGAGGCACCCTCCTCCCTCATTTCTTGTTGCCGGAATCCGTCAAGGTTTAGCACAAAAGCAACTCTCCTGGGAGGCCTTCCTGGATTCCCTAGCAGGCCTAACTATATCATGAGCTTTCCCAGTTCTTCTCTGACCATCTGTCTCTCCAGGAATTCAGCCCATTCGCCCTCAGATGGCAGGGACTCGGCAGGAGTCATTTCCGAGACCCTGTGCCCAGGTTAAGCCTCCGGGTTTGCTGAATGACTCAACAAACGAGGGTGTGCCTAGCCAGGCACCTACAAGGAGCCGGGCATTTCGGTCTGCGCCGGGACACCGGCTCCTGATCAAAGGAGCTTACAGTCTATTTCCCAACTCATAATTATAAGTACTATGAAGGGCATAGAGGAGACCTGGGACACCTCCCTGCTCGCAGGGCTGTGGGCACAGACGGCTGCTGCCCTTTGCCTCAGGTTCTCTACCAGCCAACACCCACTCAGCCGCTGAAGCCACCTCACAGCCGGCACCCACACGATCTCGCTTCGCCCGGTCTGCGCAGCCTCAGCACACTCCCAATCCCGGCGTGCCCCGCGCCCCGCCCCGGCGTCTCGCACCCTCTTCCCGGGAGGCCCAGGAGCCCCGCTGCATGCCGGGAGTTGTGGCCTCGGCGGCTGTGGTGCGGCGCCGCGGCCGGCCCGCAGCGCGTGGCAGGAAGCGGAAGCAGCCTGCGGCCCGCCCCCAACTCCGCCCCGTGCCGCGCCGCGCCGCTCGCCGCGGTGCTAGCACTGACGTGTCTCTCGGTGGAGGTGCAGCGCTCCGGAGCGGGTTGGGCCGCGGACAGCCTCACCTCACCCGGAGTGGAGCGGAGCAGAAGCGGGATCCGGAGCCCGAGCTGCCGCCGCCATGGCGAGTGAGTCCCTCGGGGTAGCCCCCAGCAACGCCGGGAAGGATCAAAATCCCCCTTCCCCTCACCGGTCCGGGCGAGCGGCCACCCCCCGGGCCCGCCCGGGTCCCCGCAGACCGAGGCCCGCGTCCCCGGCCCTCCTCCGTGTCCCCGCGCGCGGTCAGGTCCCCTAGTCCCTGCTCCTCATGCTAGGCAGAACGCTTCCCCAGGGAGCGGGGAAGGTTTTTACGTGCCCTAACTCTGCTTTTGTCTCTCCCATCAAAGTCAAATTTCTGGAAGTCATCAAGCCCTTCTGTGTCATCCTGCCGGAAATTCAGAAGCCGGAGAGGAAGGTAAGTTCCCGAAATCGCCGTCCAAGAAGGTTTCATGAACTGTCTGGGCGCTCGAAGTTTACAGTACAATTAAAAATGGCTTCAACACACCAGATGGAAACTCTGTTTTCCATCCCTTTCTCCTGGAGTGTAGTTGTGTATATTCCTGAGCTTTGTGGGAAGGTGACCAGGTTGTGTGGGAATTTCCACCGAAATCATGGTGCTTTATTTGGAGCATCTTTAGTGGATTTTACTCCAGCAAACAAAGCCTCTGGTTTGCTCTGTCCCAAAAGTGGATCTCGGGGGTGAATGAGTAAGGCCTCAAAAGCCTCAGGATACTCGGATTGAGTTACCTTTCCTTCTTCACCTCCAACAGGAGCACTTCATGGCTGGGTTGTTTTTTCCTAGGAGAAGCTTTTAGTATGCATGTGCTAAAAGGAGCTAAGAGCAGTCACTTTGTCCTGTGCATATGAGTTAGTACTCTGACAGTCGCCATAAAAGGTACAGAGAAAAAGGGCATTTTGTGAACCCTGCTTTTTACAGCAGACATATTAAAACATGAGAAGATAAAAATGCAAAAACTTCATCAGAATTTCTGCTCCTACACAGCACAGGATAGCGAGTGTTGCCAATGTTAGTGAAGCTGTTAAACAATGGGGAAGTTTTATTTAGATTCTTGCATTCAAGAGAATGAATAGTAAAAGATTTTTGTCTTCAGATTCTTTTCAGACTGTTGTTCATGCATTCACATATACATCTGTGTACTTGACATCAATATGGACACTAACATTCTTGAAGTCTTTTTTTTTTTTTTAACTTAAAATCATTTTGTATAAGTGTTCCACATACGTGCTGCCTTTGATGGGCAAAATACAAAGTTGTCCCTTCCACCCCAACAGCCTAGCATAGTAGAAAAGTTATAGCTCTGGAGGTAGACAAGCCTGGGACCCACCCTTACAAACCTCTTAATAGCTGTCTGCCCTTGGCCTTGTAACTAAGTGTGGTAGATGGAGCAGTGAAAACATGTGCAGGGTGTAGCAGTGGCTCAGGAAGGGATTAATTCTGGAAGATGTGGTTTCTGATGGTGGTTTTAATGGAAGAATAATTTTTTTGAGGAGAGGGAAAGGAATTCCAGGCATAAGGTATATATGGTGTGCAAAGCAGACAAGCAGATGGGAGGGTGTTAGCTCTACTACCATATTGCTAGAACATAAAGGGTGGTGGGGAGCAATGGAAGGGCCAGGTGATTAGAAAATGCTCTGGAAATCGGTACAAGATGAGAGTGGTTTCAAGGCTTTTGTAACAGAGGGTGTATGGGGTGGGCTCCCTGCCTCCCCAGTACTTTTTATTACATTGTTTTACCCTTAATTCATAGCAAATACACTGTGGTACTATCACATATTGCAAATTAGTTAACTACAGAATTGCAAGATTTTATCAATTTCAAAAGCTTTTTGAATGAGAAGTGATTGTTGCCTGATTCAGGGGCTATTTCAAAGGTAAAGTAGACAGGACTGAGATAAAGAGCTTTTGAAGTTTTGCTGTTGAATTTGGCTGCATCCAGGAGAGGAGACTTGGTTATTAAGAAATGAGGAGTCTTATAAAAAATTGTCTACTCTTTTTTCCCGTAAAGAATCCTTTCAACTAGTTAGCCGGAAGTGGTGTTGCCTTCCCTTGGCCTCCTAATTTCTTGGTGTGGTGAGGTGACAGGTGGGAAAGGGAGCATTCTCAAGAGGAAGGAGGGTTCTGTGAATTCACCCCAGGTTCATGTGAGTGCCCACAGCCTTTGCGTGGCGGTCTTCTTGGGGCCTGCCTAAAGGCAGTCATGGAAGACCTTAACTTCTATTCTGACCAGAGAGCCAGACTGTGTCTCAGAGCTCGTGTAGACTTTAGACTTCCCCTCCCCTCCAGTTAAAAAGTACTTTTTCAGAGCACAGTTTTATTCACTTAATGCTGTCGCTCACAAGATATTTTTCCATATCAAAATCCTCAGTCCACACAGTAATTAACTGTGTTTTTTAAGCCCTTTAAACCCCTTCTTGCAGGATAGGCAGCAAGTACTAGGGAAGGCACTCAGTTATTGAGGCAGAACACCTGGAAAAGCTGCCAGTTCTACTTGGTACCAGAGGGACCTTGGGAGGGGATTCTAAATTTATCTGATGGTACTTACTCGTCATCTATAAAATAATTCCCAGTAGTCACTTGGCCTACCTGTGTACCCAAGGAGATGTGAAGTCTTAAATAGGTGCTGTTAGTAGGCATTGAGTAGGTTAAAGGTGTAACTCTCCCTGCTCCCCCCCCCCCCAGTATTTTTTTTTATTTTGTTTTACCCTTAATTCATAGCAAATGCACTGTGGAACTATCACACATTGCAAATTGGTTAGCTACAGAATTGCAAGATTTTATCAATTACAAAACCTTTTTGAATGATCACTATCCTTGGCTGGTTGTAAGGACTGGTCTGTTTTAGGAATTCCTTGCTGTTAGAACATTGTTTGATCTGGGATCTGATCCTAAACTGTTAATGCTGGTGATTAAGAGCAAAGATTTTGCACTCAAAACTCACTTCAGCTGTGAGATTTGGGGCAAGTTGGCTTTCCTAAGACTGTTTTCTCATTGTAAAGATAACACTATGTGATATGAGGATCAAATGAAATGGTACGTGTGAAGGTCTCTGCGTAACTGCCTTGTACATAGAAAGTATGCAATACACATACTCAGGTTTCAATGCTTATGTTTGGCACACAATTGGGAGTGTTCGAGGCTCACTTCTCTGGTGAACAGAGAAAGGGGTCCAATTCAAGTTCATTTCTATTAACTTGCTTATATAAAGAACCACTGCCTTAATGCATTCTCTTCTACTGTAGATTCAGTTTAAAGAGAAAGTGCTGTGGACTGCAATCACCCTCTTTATCTTCTTAGTGTGCTGCCAGGTAAGCGCAGTTCCTTTTTCAGAACTGGGGTGGGATGAAGAGCAGGCTGGGGGTCAGTGTGCTGCCTCCTTTTCTCTGCTTGTTTCTAGATCCCGCTATTTGGTATCATGTCTTCAGATTCAGCTGACCCTTTCTATTGGATGAGGGTGATTCTAGCCTCTAACAGAGGTAGGACTCTGGCCATCTGTACCACTCTGCAGTGTGGATTTGACTGGCCTCCTTTGGTTAAATTACAGGCTTTGGCTTTATGTGGAATTCAGAGAGTGTTGGGGAGGAATGCTAGCGCCCTGTGTTGAATAGCCTGAGCAGATGCCCAGTTCAGCACCGAGGCACTTGAATGCAACATAAAACCTGTAATAACAAGATAAGTCTAGGTCATAGAGGATAAAAAAACATGGAAAAACTAGAATGTTTTTTAAACAACTGAAATGATGACATTTGTACTGGTCTTTCTCCTGTTTTGATAACATTTTTAGAATATGTAATTTATTTCTGAGCTACATCTTCATATCTATAGGTTACATATACGTGTCCAAAAAAATATGTAATGGTGTTTTGTATACTCTAACCCATTACCTATGGGGGGTAGGATTTGAACATTTATGTTGATACTGCTTTTGATTAACTTGCTTTTTAAACATAGTTCAAATTAAGTTGTAAATCAGTTGGAAGTGTAGCTCATTTTAGCATAATAGAAATAGAGGTTTATTCACAACTAGGTACAGTGGTGCAGACCTTTCAAACTCTGGAAATTATTTGAATGTTATCCTTTTTTATGAACTGATGAAGAGACGAACCTTTCTTATCTCTGTGAAACCAGAATGAATCTGTTTGGGGTGAATTTAAATGCAGTTGTCTGTTTAAATGCCATGTGACTTCCTAAACAGAATAAGATGTTGCCTGGCAGACTGAACAGAATGAATTGAATTATACTCTCATCATTGATATTTAGGGATTATTTTTGAAATTAAATGCTGCTAGCAAACTGAAACACATTGGATTTGTATACAGGGCACACCGTCGAATTTTGCTCATTCGTTTTCTTAATAATGTGTTGCTTTTCCAAGCTCATACTGGCTGTGTTTTGCCTTGCCCTTTCTTCAAGGTACATTGATGGAGCTGGGTATCTC